TGGCAAGAAATATCGAACCTAGGCTCAGTAGTTAAGACATATTGGGCCCAGTGGGACTCATTTATCATGGAAGATGGCTTGCTCAAACGAGTCCTGGAAAATGATGACGGTTCAGAGAAGAGAAGACAGTTGGTGATTCCAAAGAGCAGAACAGCCGAAGTACTTCGTCAGTTACACGACAGTCCATCAGGAGGGCATTTTGGTGTAAAGAAGACCCTTCAGCGAATTCGGGAACGGTTTTATTGGATGAACAGTTCCGACGATGTAAAAGACTGGTGTAAGAAATGTACTATTTGTGCTACGAGTAACGGGCCTTATCGAAAAAGGAGAGCTCCTATGAGACAATATAATGTTGGAAGCCCGTTTGAAAGAATAGCTTTGGACATTGCTGGGCCATTTCCAGAAAGTGATAATGGAGGCAAGTACATGTTGGTAGTAATGGATTACTTCACTAAGTGGGTCGAGATTTACGCACTTCCAGACCAGAAGGCGGCCACCGTTGCAGATAAGTTGATCCAAGAATATATCAGCCGATTTGGAGTGCCTTTGGAGATCCATAGTGACCAAGGCAGGAACTTCGAAAGCGATTTATTCCAAGGAATATGTGATAGACTAGGTATGAAGAAAACAAGGACTACGGCTTATCATCCGCAATCGGATGGTATGGTAGAACGAATGAATAGAACAGTTGGCAAGTATTTGACAAAGATGGTGTCCGATCATCAGCGAGACTGGGACCAATATCTCCCGTTCTTCACAATGGCCTACAGATCTGCTGTTAATGAATCAACAGGCCAGACACCAGCCAAAGTCCTATTCGGACGCGAGATGCGACTACCTTGTGATCTAGAGTTTGGGTGTCGACCTGGAGAAGATGTAGCAGGTGAAGATTATGTGATCGAATTACGAAGAAGAATGGACGATGTACACGAGTTGGTCCGTTCCCATCTCCAGATCGCTAGTGACCGAATGAAGAAACGGTACGATACGCAAGCCGAAAAGGGGTGTTTTAAGAAGAACGATAAAGTCTGGCTTTATAACCCCAAAAAGCGAAAAGGTTGTTCTCCCAAATTGCAGCAGTTTTGGGAAGGTCCATACCTCATTATGGAGAATACCTCATTATGGAGAAGATCAATGATGTTATTTACCGAATAAGCAAGATTCCGAGAGGAAAGCCGATGATAGTACACCATAACCGGCTGGCGTCTTTCGAGGGTGACCACGACGTAGATGAAGAAGTGGAAGTAAACCAAGTCCAAGATGTGTCTGACCTCACGTTTGAGGAATTCATGGGTGCCTATGGAGGTACCGGTAAAGCAAGACATGGTGTTACCACTGAAGAAAGGCAAGATCTACTCGCGCTTCCCGATGACTACTCACTGGCCCTTACCATCCCGGCCAGTATCAAAGATGCACCAGGGTTGGCATCCGTCTTTCGAAGGAAGTTTGGTCGAGTTGCAGAACTTCAATGCCAAGTGCCAGCTCCTGGTAAAACCTTGAAACTTCAAGATGCATCACGTTACCTTTTCTACCTGGTAACAAAAGACACTGCCCGTGACCAACCTACCTACCGAGATGTATGGGAAGCCTTACTTCAGTTGAGAGAGCACGTACTAGAGTCCGACGTGCAAAAGTTAGCATGCCAAAGTTGGAGTGCCGCCAATTAAATTGGAGGGTTATACGAAACATGGTGGAGGAAATCTTTAAAGACACCGAAGTCCAGGTGTTAGTCTGTTGCAATCCGCATAGTTACTGCTGCGGAGAGAAAACCGTCCCTTGTCATTTCTATACAACTGGAAGTTGTAAAAGAGGGTCCAGTTGCCGATATCAGCATGTCGTTCCAGTTCCAGTCCCGACAAGGTTCCAGGAGGAACCATCTTTTAAGAGGGGGGCAATGTTACGATTTTAAATGTTATGGCATATAGAACTGTAAATATTTTATGACTAATTCTTTTTTATTGATTCTCGTAATTTGTAGGTCAAAATATACCTGAGCTTAGCTACCAGTTGTTTACAGAAATCTCTAGACACTAATTTTAGTGAGTCATCCACGTCTCGAGGTTGAAAAACGAGTCGAGCGCCTTCACCAAAATACGAGACTATTCAGGAAGTTTGCCGAAAGTTCCAGATGACAACAGTTGTGTATATAAATGAAAGATTTTTGTATTTGAGTCAGTCATAAGAAGATCGGTAAACGCGATATTTAAATGTAACGAAACGTGAAATAAATACATTTGTAAAGTTATTTAATAAATTAGTAATTAGCTATCGTGAGTTTTAATAAATTAGATTATAGACAATAAATTAGAATAAAGACAAATAAATTAGAACTATATAAACTTCACATTATAAAGGCCAACGAATATCAAATCCCAATGTATATGGCATTTGTAGACTTTAAAAAAGCATTCGAGAGGTCTACAAATGATTTATAATAAAACGAAAATTATGACCAACCAACCAGAAGAATTAATAATTACAATTGCACAAACAACTATAGAACAAGTAAAAGAATATGTATATTTGGGACTAGTTAACTGAATTAAAGAAAATCAGACCGGAGAAATAAAAAAAAGGATACGTTGGCTTGAGTATCCTTCGGAAAACTTTCCTATATACTAAAAAATACAAAATACCCCCAATATTTAAAAACAAGAGTCTTCAACCAATGTATATTTCCTGTTCTCACCTACGGTTCTTAAACTTGGACGTTTATAAAGGAAAACATATAAAAAATAGCAAAGACCCAAAGAGCCATGGAAGGAAATGCTGAACATCAGGCTATCAGACAAGAAAAAGAAATACTTGGATCCGCAACAAAACAAAAGTGACCGATGTATCAACGCAGATAGCAAAGCTTAAGTGGAAGTTCGCTGGACATACCATAAGACAGAAAGACGACAGATGGAATAAGATGATTGTAGAGACCATATAGTTACAAACAAAAAAGAGGAAGGCCACAAGTTAAGAGTCTTCAACCAATGTATATTTCTTGTTCTCACCTACGGTTCTCAAACTTGGACGTTTACAAAGGAAAACATGGAAAACATAGCAAAGACCCAAAGAGCCATGGAAAGGCAAATGCTAAACATCAGACAAGAAAAGAAATACTTGGATCCGCAACAAAACAAAAGTGACCGATGTATCAACGCCGATAGAAAAACGATAGCTTAAGTGGAAGTTCGACAGATGGAATATCATCTTATTCCATCTGTCCGAAAGACGATAGATGGAATAAGATGATTATATACTGGAGACCATATAGTTACAAACGAAAAAGAGAAAGGCCATAAATGAGATGGTCAGATGGCTTAAAGAAACACGCAGGCCCGAAGTGGATAACAGTGGCCTAACACAGTTGGTTCTCCTCTGCCTATCCACATAGCAGGAAAGTTATTTGTTAGATGCTTGTAAATGTAAAAATGTAAAAAGAGTAGTGTAATGAACTAGATCACCGTCTTGTAAAACTACAGTCTTTGTCCAATATTAAATGGAACATTTTGCAGTAGTTATGAAAAATAATCATTCAGAAAATACAGATATATAGCAACATTCACACGGCCATCAAAAAATAGTAGACCAATCCCAAATTCCCCAACAATTTCACTCCAATATTTTGTGAAAAAAGTGAAAAAACTCTAAAATTTTAACAAAAAGAGGTTAATCTTTGTAAATGGGTATATTTATTTAAAAAACCCTTAAAAGGGCCACATCAATAGAACAAACGTTTTCGGACTAAACAGTCCATCATCAGGTTATTAAAATCGAAAATGCTAGGTCATAATGCCTGAGCCACCAAAATATTAGGGTAAAAACCCTTTAAATTACATTTAGTTATGAAATGTTGTACATTGTGTTATAAAATAACTGTGATGTTCTATATTAAATTAAATTTGACCAAAGGTAACACATGGCTCAAATGGGTTCCAGAGCCGGGCGAGAGACAACGTTGTTCTCCGAGTGCAGAGGTTGTCTCTCGCCCGGCTCTGGAACCCATTTGAGCCATGTGTTACCTTTGGTCAAATTTAATTTAATATAGAACATCACAGTTATTTTATAACACAATGTACAACATTTCATAACTAAATGTAATTTAAAGGTTTTTTACCCTAATATTTTGGTGGCTCAGGCATTATGACCTAGCATTTTCGATTTTAATAACCTGATGATGGACTGTTTAGTCCGAAAACGTTTGTTCTATTGATGTGGCCCTTTTAAGGGTTTTTTAAATAAATATACCCATTTACAAAGATTAACCTCTTTTTGTTATACGTGGTATACAGCCTGCTACAGGAATTTTTTCTTGTGGATTTTTTTAAAATTTTAATGTTTTCTTTGCTGGAAACTAATAAAAGTGCCCAAATAATCAAAAGGAGACTTCCACATCTCTAGTGTAAGGAATAGATGTGTGTAAATTCGAATCCATAATAATTTGAATTTTTGGTTATTGTGAGTCGATAATTTTGCTGATTTTGCGTGCAGTGTGTGTGATTTTGCAAAATAATAAAAGTGTTAATGTTAATGGTAATTATAGAAAAAACATTGGAAGAGAGGTAAGTGCATAACCTCTATAAATTTAGGAAGGCGAAGGAAATTTTATTTACTTTCAACACAAAAAAAAAACAAAAGCAAAACCGGCCCAGGTAATTAATGCTAATATATTAGTTTTAAAAGCTAGAGGTGGGCGTTGCTACATCAGACCGTTCCAAAGTAACTGACAATTGTTTTAATTAAAAATTAATTTATCCAGGAAGAAAACGTGAAAATATATTAATACAAGCTATTGCTTGAGAGAACCATATTCCTTCGACGCGTTGAGTGGGGAGGTTGGCTCTATTGCGAGTAGTAGCAGTAGAAATATGGATTCAGGAGAATATATCCGATGACAGCTGGAAAAGAAATAGAGAAGAAGACGAACTGTTATTTGGTACCAGTAAAAAAGTACAAAGATGCACAGTAAAATTCACAGAGATGAAAACAAAATAGATCAAATACTAAATATGATAAAAAATTTAACAATAGAGTTACAAGAATTAAAAACTGATATAAAAGAAGTAAAAACGGAACAAAAACAATACAGAGAAGAAATGAGGGAACTTAAAACTGAAGAAGCAGAACTAAAACAAGAGAATAGTGAAATATGGAAAGAAAATGAACAAATCAAAAAGGATCTGATTGATACAAAAGGTCGCCTTGAAAGGCTGGATAAAATAAGAAAAGAAAATAATGTAATAATACAGGGAATGACAATAGAAATTAAGAAGATAGAAAAACACTTACAGAATAATAGGAAATTTTATGACAAAAGAGCTAATTATTACCGTAAATATAGAAGAAGCAGTGAAACTAAGAGATAAAGCATGTTTAGTCAGACTGCTAAACAAAAAGGAAAAAACAATAATTATGGAAAACAAAAGTAAACTTAAAGAAGTGAAAAAAGAAAAATATATATATATATATATATATATATATATATATATATATATATATAAACAATGATCTACCGACAGAGGAATTACAAATACAAAGGAAATACGAAGAATAGCAAAAGATGAAATAAAGAAAGGTAAACGTGTTCAAATTAAAGCCAACAAACTGAAAATAGATGGTCTAGAAAGGAGATGTAATAGAAACACCAACCA